AAGAGATGGTCAGACATTCGAAAAGATACATTTCGGCCACATTTTTTACACGTACAAGAAATAATGTGGACATATGGTGACATGATTAGAAAGTTCTGTAAAGATGTGGTTTCTAATAAGAAACTTATGAAGAAACTACAGGAGTCAAGATTTGATGTTGTTCTTGCAGATGCTATTTCCCCCTGTGGTGAGCTGCTGGCTGAGCTACTTAAAATACCCTTTGTGTACAGCCTCCGTTCCTCTCCTGGCTACGCACTTGAAAAGCATGGTGGAGGATTTCTCTTCCCTCCTTCCTATGTACCTGTTTCTATGTCAGAATTAAGAGATCAAATGACTTTCATGGAGAGAGTACAAAATATGATCTATACGGTTTATTTTGACTTTTGGTTCCAAGTATGGGATATAAAGAACTGGGATCAGTTTTACAGTAAAGTTCTAGGTAAGTAATTTTTTCAATTGGTGGCGTGGAGATCTAACTTTCTTGTACCGTTGAAGCTGAGCTTGTATAAAGCCATAAAGTCAGGGTAGTGGGGGTTTTTGTAAGTAAATGTATCAAATGAAAGACAAGATTATCAAACTCATAAACACTATAGAAAAGGTAAATCATAGGATCAGTTAAAACCCTGTCACCATCAACCATACAGAACACTCCAGGAAGTCATAAACCTGTATATTAGTGCACCTTAAATTTCTTTAAGCAATCACACTTCTGTTGTATTACACTTTTTTATCTAAAAATGTCAGACTCATCAAGAAACATCTTGCTGAATGCATACTGGTAGATTGAGTAGTTACACATTTTCCTAGAACTATCTATTTAACATTGCAAAATTGTTTTTTTCTTATATACTTCGGTCTCCTTATTTAGTAATTGCAACATGTACCCGTGTTACCAGGCAGTTTCCTCCACAGTTGAGAGAAAAATGTCTCAATTTCAGAATCAAAAACCAATACATATAATTTGAAGTTTCCAATATTTCTATTCTCCTTCACTTTAGGATGGAAACCATTCATTTTAAGGCCAATCATCTTGTGGAAGTGTGAACATTAAGATATAACTGTATAGTATTTTTGAAACTATGCATGTTTATTTAAAATATGAGCCAAATTAAGGTTGAACACAAATTTCTGTTTTAATAATTTCTCAAAATTTTCTAGCTGTAATTTGTAAATATAATTACTTACAAACTAATATTAAGATCGTAACGTGAATCAAAAACAGTAGTAGGTACAAGGATTTCAGCTATAATTTCAAAATAATCAACAGTTCACTGGAAGATCCAAAGATAAAAGGACTAGATTAATGAATGATGGAACTTAGACTATTTCTTAGAAAATTATTCTTATGGTACAGTGGAATTCATTGATAATGGAGCCCCAAAAGTGGCATATATATATTTCTGCTACTATGAAGCTTTAAAAAATAAAGAAATGGAGATTAATTCTCCATGGCTTGTTTATGGTTGTGAATATACTGATGTGGCATAACGCATGTAGTTTGCCCTCATGATTCTCTCACCACTTTGTCTTTCTTGTAAATATACATGGGCAAAATATATAATACATAAAAATTAAATTATGCCTATGTATGTATATATATTACAAAGCACAAACACTTCACCTACATTTTTGCCTACATTATTCTAACTTCTTTCAGAAAATTACCTAATTATCTTGTGTCATCTACCGTTTCTTTTCTTTTTTCCTATCAGGGAGACCCACTACATTATTTGAGATAATGGCAAAAGCTGAAATATGGCTTATTCGAAACTACTGGGATTTTCAATTTCCTCATCCACTCTTACCAAATGTTGAGTTCGTTGGAGGACTCCACTGCAAACCTGCCAAACCCCTACCTAAGGTAAACTATTACTATTTGTTTGTCTGCTTTGAATTTTCAGTGTGAGTGGTTCTGTATTCCTTCGGAGTGTTTGACTTACACTGGAAGAAACATGGGTAGTGGGAAGGTAAAGCACATACCAATTAAAAACTCACATACATGTTGATACCATCAAAAGTTTGTGAATTTTATCATTATTACAGATAAAGAGGGATACTAAGGAGACTTTGAAAATAGGGTTGTTAAATTTAAGCTTTGATTATGCAACACATAAGAAGATACTGGCCATTCATTCAAAGAATATTTATGAAAGAGATTAGCACACACCACAGGCAAGTGTGTTGTACACAGTTTCTGTCCCAACACAAATTACGTTCTACTTCGAAAGACAGAATATACACAAGCAATAAAAACTGCGTAAAAACTATTATCTCCAGGTAAAACCCAATGCTAAGGAAGTATCCAGTGTAGATAATAGAGAGTATTCTGGAGTCGCCGGTATTAATCATTTAGATGAGAGCTGAACAATATGCAGGAACAGGTGAAATAATGAGGGAGAGAAAAAAAACACAAAAAGAAAAGCAGGTAAAGTGTTCAGGACAGTTCTCAAGCCTCAAAGTGTAGTTTGCAAGGGAGATACTGAGCAAGAATCAGATGATGCTGACAGGCAAGATAAGAGTCAGATACTCCTTCGGAG